TCGAGAACTACGAAAAGCGAGGGACCACTGTACTGCCCTATATATTAACACTGCCCTGTATATTAACACTGCTCGTTATATTAACACTGCCCTGTTTATTAACATCGCCTAGTATATTAACACAGCCCTGTATATTAAGACTGCCCTGTATATTAACACTGTCCTGTATATTAACACTGCTCTGTATATTAACACTGCTCTGTATATTAACACTAACCTGTATATTAACACTTTAATTATTACTGCCCTGTATATTAACACTGTTTATTAACACTCACTATCACGTTAAGAGACCATACAATAAGTGTCAGGGGCCCGAGACTGTTCAACTGCCTCCCAGCATACATAAGGGGGATTACCAACAGACCCCTGGCAGTCTTCAAGCTGGCACTGGACAAGCACCTAAAGTCGGTTCCTGACCAGCCGGGCTGTGGCTCGTACGTTGGTTTGCGTGCAGCCAGCAGCACAGCCTGGTTGATCAGGCTCTGATCCACCAGGAGGCCTGGTCACAGACCGGGCCGCGGGGGCGTTGACCCCCGGAATCTCTCCAAGTATGGTAAACACTTTTTCACGCCAGTATATTAACACTACCCTGTATATTAACACTGTATATTAACACTGCCCAGTATGTTAACACTGCCCAATATGTTAGCACTGCCCAGTTTGTTAACACTGCCCTGTATATTAACACTGCATATTAACACTGCCCTGTATATTAACACTGTATATTAACACTCCCCGTGTTACTGTTTAACACTGCTGTATGTTAACACTGCCCTGTATGTTAACACTGCCCTGTATGTTAACACTGCCCTGTATGTTAACACTGCCCTGCATATTAACACTGCATATTAACACTGCCCTGTATGTTAACACTGCCCTGTATGTTAACACTGCCCTGCATATTAACACTGCATATTAACACTGCCCTATATGTTAACACTGCCCTGCATATTAACACTGCATATTAACACTGCCCTGTATGTTAACACTGCCCTGTATGTTAACACTGCATATTAACACTGCCCTGTATATTAACACTGCATATTAACACTGTATATTAACACTGTATATTAACACTGCCCTGTATATTAACACTGGATATTAACACTGCCCTGTATGTTAACACTGCCCTGTATATTAACACTGCATATTAACACTGCCCTGTATATTAACACTGTATGTTAACACTGTATATTAACACTGTATATTAACACTGTATGTTAACACTGTATATTAACACTGTATGTTAACACTGCCCTGAATATTAACACTGTATATTAACACTGTATATTAACACTGTATATTAACACTGCCCTGTATGTTAACACTGTTTTAACACTGTATATTAACACTGCCTATATTAACACTGTATATTAACACTGTATATTAACACTGTTAACACTGTATGTTAACACTGCATGTTAACACTGTATATTAACACTGTATATTAACACTGTATATTAACACTGTATATTAACACTGTATGTTAACACTGTATGTTAACACTGTATATTAACACTGTATATTAACACTGTATATTAACACTGTATGTTAACACTGCATGTTAACACTGTATGTTAACACTGTATATTAACACTGTATGTTAACACTGTATGTTAACACTGTATATTAACACTGTATATTAACACTGTATATTAACACTGTATATTAACACTGTATATTAACACTGTATTTAACACTGTATGTTAACACTGTATATTAACACTGTATGTTAACACTGTATATTAACACTGTATATTAACACTGTATATTAACACTGTATATTAACACTGTATATTAACACTGTATATTAACACTGTATGTTAACACTGTATATTAACACTGTATATTAACACTGATATAACCTGTATATTAACACTGTATATTAACACTGTATATTAACACTGTATTTAACACTGTAATTAACACTGCCTGTATATTAACACTGTATATTAACACTGTATATTAACACTGTATTTAACACTGTATATTAAACACTGTATAACATGATAAACACTGTATATTAACACTGATATAAACTGTATATACACTGTATATTAACACTGTATACACTGTATTAACACTGTATATTAACACTGTATATTAACACTGTATATTAACACTGTATATTAACACTGTATATTAACACTGTATATTAACACTGTATATTAACACTGTATATTAACACTGCCCTGTATATTAACACTGTATATTAACACTGTATATTAACACTGTATATTAACACTGTATATTAACACTGTATGTTAACACTGCCCTGTATATTAACACTGTATATTAACACTGTATATTAACACTGTATGTTAACACTGCCCTGTATATTAACACTGTATATTTAACTGTATTAACATGTATATTAACACTGTATATTAACACTGTATGTTAACACTGCCCTGTATGTTAACACTGTATGTTAACACTGTATGTTAACACTGTATATTAACACTGTATATTAACACTGTATATTAACACTGTATATTAACACTGTATATTAACACTGTATATTAACACTGCCCTGTACATTATTGTTCATTTATATTAACATTGTTTACTCGTATTTTTAAGTCTTCTAAATAAACACCAAATTAGTAATTCCTATAAATTTAGCTAAAAATATGAACGTCGGTGCTGGTAAAAATCTTGCGATCCAAGGAACTGGAGGTGCTCTCCCATTCGTTGGATCTAACCCACCTCATATTTCCCAGTCACTGTATAACCCGAACAGGTTTAGTGCTTTCCTAACATAATCAGATACACGTTATGTTTAATTTAAAATTCATGGCGGATAATTATTTTTTAACTTAGCCAGTAACTGTGTGATAAAATTCTTGCTCGTCCAGACTGTCTCATCTTTCTCAGGTTAGTGATCAACTTTGCACAAGTCATACCCTCGGCTGGGATTGAACCCGCGGTCATAGAGTCTCAAAACTCCAGCCCGTCGCGTTAGCCACTAGACCAGCTAGCACAATAAGATTCATCCAACTAGGTATATTTCTACACCATAGGAAGGTTAGCACAGGCACCTCTGTGACCACAAATGCAAGTTTTTACAGACGAATCTCCAGCTAGCGTGGCCGTGACGAACTCTAGCTCAAGTCCCTTCACTGCCGTCAACATGACTCAAGAAATCGTAATGACACGATTGCAAACAAACCATACCCCCGGCCGGGATTGAACCCGCGGTCATAGACTCTCAAAACTCCAGCCCGTCGTGTTAGCCACTAGACCAGCTAGCCACAATAAGTAACTTTGCACAATTTATAGATTCGTTTTGTACATTTCGTTTAAAACAAAAGACATTCTTTTCAAACCATACCACGGGTGGGGTTAGAATCCACGATCAGAAAGTCACAAAATTCCAGACCGACGCGTTAGCCACCGGGCTAGACCGGGCCGCGGGGGCGTTGACCCCCGGAACTCTCTCCACGTAAACTGGTCCAGCCAGCTGGTATCTGGTTGCTAGCTGGACCAGTGGCTAACGCGTCGGTCTAGAGTTTTGTGATTCTCTGATCGCGGGTTCTAACCCCACCCTCGGTGTGGTTTGTTTGCAGTCGTGTCATTAAGATTTCGTGGGACATTCTTTTCAGTTGGAGACATACAAAACACTTGGGAGACAGAGTTTAAAGAATTATTTCAACAATGTTCAGGTATTGTCGTTAGTGAGGGAACGACCATAAACAGGTCGTTGATATTCACATGATCGATATTATTATTATTATTATAATCAAGGGGGAAGCGCTAAACCCGGAGGATTATACAGCGCCTGGGGGGGGGGGATGTGGAAGGTATTCAGGCTTAATTCGGGGAACTGAAGCACAGATCCAATTCCCTAAATCAAGAGCCCCTCACCACATGATCGATAGAGTTCAGAACTGGTGGACAATAATGTCAACGAACCATTCACCATTTTATTTAGACAAAGAACAACTTGAAAATATAGATAAAATCAGTAAATGCAATTATTTATGGTAGATTATTAAGCAAAAACATGTATATTTTTAAGAATAGAAAACGGTTTACAACATTTTTCTATATACGAAAGCTAAAAAAAAAAAAAATACGAAAATGCCTTAAATCCCAATCTCGTCCATAAAAATGTATTTCATTAGAGAGGAATTGCTAAGTTTGTAGTTAATTCAGAAGTGACGACCTCTTAAGATAACTGATGCTTCCTCTATAAGTTTCTGGTGAGGATACCAGATCTTCTTTTAGTTAAGTATCAAAACAGTGAATGATACCACTTATCGGATCTTTAATCTTTCTTAGTGTCCAATGGAATTTTTTTAAGACAATGAGAGATGACTAGGTTCGATCCGACGGAAGGGAAAATTAGCTTCAATTCCATGTTAAGAGCCCTTCACTATCATCAAGGAGCCATTGCATATAAAAGGATTGACTCATAATGCATTTCGTGACCATCGTTAAGAGACTGTTGTAAGAACTGCATTCAGCGAGGTCGTGTCATCAGTAAATTTATCTTTATTATCAGGTCTTGTGTATTTTGCTATGACGTTGCTGCAGTAAGTGTTCGTTAACTCCATGTTACGAGGCGCATTAAGATGAGTCTGTTAGCCCTTCCATATATGTTCTACCATATATGCTATACCATATATGTTGCACCATATATGCTCTACCATATATTTGCACCATATATGTTGAGAATTAGCTTCCTTTTTAATATTTTTGTAACAATTAAAACAATTGATTAGATTCAGTCATTATGTTTTTTATAAGATCTGTTGTATAATAAATTTAAAAAATTGTTCTTTTGGTTGTGTTTTATTAATGCAAGTTTGCTAACATAAATGTTTTAACTCCATGTACGGAGCGCACTAAATATTTTGCCCTCCATATATGCATTGCTCGAAAATCTAACCATAAATCAATTATTGGAAATCATGTCTACCTTGTTGCACATATATCCTACCATAAGTTCATCAATATGCTCAAATTTTCGACCCCTATGCCTACGAATATATGTTGCACCATATATGCTCTACCATATATGTTGCACCATATATGCTCTACCATATATGTTGCACCATATATGCTCTACCTTATATGCTTTACCGTATGTAAACTGTAAACATAATAACTGGTTTCGTCGTATATTTGTTCAGTGTTGCTGAAGCCTCGTACATGCCTCGTACAGCACTCGCATCTTTTGCATTATGGGAATTTCTGTTCCAGGGAACTTACCGCATTTTTACAGTTATCACCTCACACTGATGGGCTTTTGATATTGTCACACTGGACAAATATACACTTAAGCAAAATTTCACTTAATATCATTTTTAAATCTTTGACTAAAATTCCTGTCTTAGCCTCAGTAAAAGCAGTAGGAAATCAATATTTTTATTTATCAACATCTGTGTTATACGAGTGTCTTTGAGTGTTCCTCATGATACTACAAGTCGTTGTACGTTTGATGGCCGCTTCTCTTTCTAGTGAAACAAATTAATCATTCTCGAGGTATCTCTCAAATGGTCTCTGATCCTCAAGAGAAATTCTCCGGTTACAAGAACCTGGCATAATTTATGTATGAAAAGACTAAGTTAGCCAGATCATGAACGGTTTCAACCGTCATAAACTTTAGATTCCAGATATATGACGAAATGTAATTTTTTTCATGAATTTCTGTCTCAATTCACACATGTTTAAGCCTTCAAGCACTTCCATAAACTGTTTCTGTTTGACCAACAGTCAAATGCAAGTTGTATACAATTAAAGATGGTTGACTATTTTCGGTTGGAATTTGAAGGTGGAACCCACTACTTTGATTATTACTTATGTGAACAACTACTAACAGTTACTATCAAAGGTGTTTGTCATGGGATCATTTGTCTCTCGTAAATCGATAATAACTGAAATTTTTGATGTTATCAAATACTTATACTAAAATTAACAAAATCAATTGATAAATGGTGTTTGCCCAGACAGGTTCCTGGCCCCTCAATATGTCCAGACAAGTTTATTTTTTTCTACAGTTCATAACTAACATTTTGTCCAAACAAGTGCATTTCTCTAAGGTTTATGACCAACACTACGTCCAGACAGGCTCATTTTTCCAGGGCTGCAGCGACATCTTGGGGATTAAGTTTCCAGACTTACAGAGGGCGCGCTTGTTGCTGCAATAAAACATGCAAAGTGTTTATTAAACGAAAAATTAGAAAATCGACATATTAAAATCAATATCAGATTTATTAATGATCATAGAATCAAAGCTGCATCAATTTTTTTTATTATATATTATAAATATGATGGCATTTTAAGATTATGTATTGAAGACTTAGTTTAACAGAGCACATTGATCCTAGGAAGAAGAGGGAAGCTCTAATTCATTGAATTAAGAATCTTTAACCAACGTCAGAACACTTAACAATTTGAAGATTGAGACACTTATGCAGCATATGGAAATCTTTATTCAGGAAACGTTTCGCCACACAGTGGCTTCATCAGGTTGAGGGACTGATTACCTCATTCTCCTCCTCTCCTTACGCCTTCCTCTTTGTATTGGACTGATGAAGCCACTGTGTGGCGAAACGTTTCCTGAATAAAGATTTCCATATGCTGCATAAGTGTCTCAATCTTCAACTTGTCGGTTTTTCAAACCATTCATCACACTTAACAATTATTGGGGAAATTTTAATTAAAACATTTGGCTTTTAAACTAATAATATCTTTATTAATAATATTTAATATATTTAGAAATATATATTAATAGTTATTTATTTTTATTGATAATTAATATCATTTGTCCAAGGAAAGTACTTACAACTTGGCAATGAAAATAGAATCTCAGCAAATTATGTAAATAGGAGGAGAGGATCCTAACACATTGTCTAAGAGGTTGATCCTCTGTCTTTGCAATTGTGATGGATTTACAAGGGATTGAGCCTCCATCTTGTAATAGGATCCCATCCTCTTAAGAGGTATTATTCCACTTTATAACTAGCCTTAGGCAGTGATTTTCTGACAGTTTATTTTGCAGTGCACACACTGGGTGCCAGTTTTCCCGTCGCTCGTCAAAACTACTCACCTTCATCTAATATCTCATTTATAGTGGTATGTTATAACCGGTAAATTTTTATTGAGAGGTGACAAACTTAACTAAACCTAACTTAGTATCTTAAATAACGGCAGTCGAGAAACTTACTGCAAACTGTATGTGAAAAGTCTTGTAAAATTTTTAAGGATGGGTCTGGGACCTATCAGGAGACTTTCCAAAGTGTAAATATTACTAGGAACTGAACTTAGGTTCTTTTAATTGTAAAAAGAGTAACGGGGTTTGATACAGAGTGCTCTAGATTGTGTAAATAATACTAGTAACCTAATCAACTTTCCCTACAACTGGTTATTCCTGTATATACAAACTTGGTCGTTGAGGTATTAAAAATAATGGCAACTTATATGATGACAAATCGTGTATATACAATGACTGGTGAATTCATCTGAGTGGGACTTGCACATGAGTAAATAGAATTATCAAAGCTTATTTTTTGGGTAGTATTGAAAATTGGGTTGGGCAAATATCCTATTGGTGGGATGGATTGTGAAGAACCTGCCTAATGTGGGCCAACAGGCCTGCTGTAGTGTTCCTCCTTTCTTAAGTTCTTATGACTATGCTCTCTAAAAGGTACGCATTTCTCAGTATGTATCTTTCAGTGAATATATACCGATGGAGGGTCGTCTCCCAGCGTATTTTGGATTCCACAGTTTGACTAACAGTGACAGTCCTGTATGAAGGCCTTAATATAAATATTTTAACAATAACATTTTATCACCAAAGGTGAACCTAATTTTTTAATAAATCTTCAAAATTAGTTCAAGAATGTGGCAACATTATACTTAAAATTGGGTTATTACTCCAAAGGTGTGAATTTAAACATAATAAGAATCAAATACGGCTTATTATTGAAGAAAATACAGCGTTCACCATCGCAGTTTTGTGTATTTACCAGCAACAAAGGTTTAATGTACACTATAGGTATTCCGAAGCTTGATCGCTAGCGCACTCAGTTCACGTACTGAAGTCTGGAAATCGAATCCTCGGTACGGCTGAAAAACATTAGGGCGTATTTCGATAAGACACCTGTTGTCCATGTTCACCCATCAGTATAAAATGGGTACCTGGGTGTCAGTGGATTGCTGTGGGTCGCATCCTGGAACAAAACTGACCTATTTTTCCCGAAATGCTCTGCATAACAAACGACTTTCTATATGGTAGTATGTCACTGATGTCAGCTATGGTCTGTATACCTTGTACATGTACTTGTAGTAAATAAAGATATTATTATTATTATTTTTATTATTATGCAGACCATATAATGTGTACACTCAGTGGCTACTTTATTAGGTACATCCTTCTGGTACTGGGTGCTGCCCAACCCTGTATGAACTGAATAAAGTACGCATCCCTCTATCCACTAGACGACCATCCTTAAACAGCAGGCAGTCAGCAGTACTGAGCGTGTTACCCTGATGCAAGGATGTCGTGGAGCCTCAGAGACTAATTTCATCCTCATCTTGTTCGGTGTACCAGCCTTCACAAGCAGTCTATAAGTCAATGAAATCACGAAAGTCTAGTGGATAGATAATGGGGGCCCTTTAACCCTTAAACTGTCCAAACGTAGATCTGCATTTATTTTACATGCTTTAAAATGTTAAGAAACGTAGATCTACTTTACAAGAGGCAGCGGTGCAAACGTAGATCTATGTTTGGACAGTTTAAGGGTTAATTGAACTTTGCATAGAAAGGGGTTTGGTTATAGGTAATAAATATTTTAAGAAAAGGATAAGTAAGTATTCAGTATTTGATATAGGGCGTAATAACAATAGTTTGTTGGATTACATATTGATAGATAAAAGACTGTTGGGTAGACTTCAGGATGTACATGCTTAAAGAGGGACCACAGATATATCAGATCACTTTTTAGTTGTAGCTACAGTGAGAGTAAAAGGTAGATGGGATACAAGGAAAATGGAAGCAGCAAGTAAAAGAGAGGTGAAGGTTTATAAACTAAAGGAGGGGGTACTTAGGGTAAGCTATAAACAACTACTGGAGGATATAAACAACTATTGGAGTATAGGCAATGGGGGTCGAAGATGCATAGAGTAGGTTTAAGAATATAGTGCTAGAGTGTTCAGAAGATGTTTGTAGTTACAGGGAAGTGGGTGTGGGAGGGAAGAAGAGCGATTAGTGGAATGATGTATAGAGATTAGTCAGAGAGAATAAGTTAGCATATGAGAGGTTTTTACAAAGTAGAAGTGATGCAAAGAGGAGTATATGGAGAGAAAAAGAGAGATTAAGAAAGTGGTGAAGCAGTGTAAAAAGAGAGCAAATGAAAGAGTGGGTGAGATATTATCAACAATTTTTGTTGAAAATAAGAAAAACTTTTGGTGTTAGATTAATAAGTTGAGGAAGCCTAGGGAAAGAATGGATTTGACATGTTAAAAGTAGGAAAGGAGAGTTATTAAATGGAGAGTTAGAGGTACTGGGAAGATGGAATGAATATTTTGAGGAATTGTTAAATGCTGATGAAGATAGAAAAGCTGTGATTTCGTGTATAAGGTAAGGAGGAATAACATCTGGTAGGAGTGAGGAAGAGCCAGTTGTGAGTGTGGGGGAAGTTCGTTAGGCAGTGGTAGAATGAAAGGAGGTAAGTTAGCTGTGATTGATGGGATAAAGATAGAAATGTTAAAATCAGGTTGGGATATAGTTCTGGAGTGGTTGGTGCTTTTATCTAATAAATGTATGGAAGAGGGTAAGGTACCTAGGGACTGGCAGAGAGCATGCATAGTTCCTCTGTATAAAGGCAAGGGGACAAAAGAGAGTGCAAAAATTATAGGGGAAAAGTCTGTTGAGTATACCTGGTAAAGAGTGTGATAGAGTTATTATTGAAAGAATTGTGAGTAAGACGGAGAGTAGGATAGCAGATGAACAAGGAGGCTTTGGGAAAGGTAGGGGGTGTGTGGACCAAGTGTTTAAGTGAAACATGTAGGTGAACAGTAAAGAGGTTTTTGTGGCATTTATGGATTTGGAAAAGGCGTTTGACGGGGTGGATAGGGGGGCAATGTGGCAGATGTTGCAAATGTATGGAATAGGTGGTAGGTTACTGAAAGCAGTGAAGAGTTTTTACGAGGATAGTGAGGCTCAGGTTAGAGTATGTAGGCGAGAGGGAGATTATTTCCCAGAAAAAGTAGGCCTTTGACTAGGATGTGTGATGTCACCAAACGGTCAGTGCCCCAAGGCACTGTCCTGGCACCGCTGCTGTTTTTCATCCTCATAGCAAACATAGATAAAAACACCCGGCACACTTTTGTATCATCATTTGCAGATGACACTAAAATAAGCATGAAAGTCACTACGGTAGAGGACACTGAAAAAGTGCAGGACGACATAAACAGGATTTTCCAGTGGGCAGTGGAGAACAACATGACGTTCAATGGTTATAAGTTCCAGTTGTTTAGGTATGGAAAGATTGAAGAACTCAAAAGGAGCACTATATACAAAACTCAAGAGGGCCACCAAATAGAACGTAAGGAACACGTAAAAGACCTGGGAATAATTATGTCAGCGGACCTTTCTTTTAAAGATCATAACAAGACAAAGATCACGACAGCCAGGCAGATAACGGGGTGAGTACTAAGAACATTCAAAATAAGGGAAATAATGCCGATGGTGACACTCTGCAAATCACTAGCGCTCTCTCACTTAGAATATTGCTCAGTGCTGACGGCTCCGTTCAAGGCAGGAGAAATATCGGAGCTGGAACAAATACAATGATCGTTTACAGCTCACATTGAGCCAGTAAAGCACCTAAACTACTGGGAACGCCTTAAAGTCTTGAAAATGTACTCATTAGAATGGAGGAGAGAGAGATACTTGATAATATATACCTGGAAAGTATTCGAGGGCCTGCACACTGCCATAACAACATACTGGAGTGAGAGATATTGGAGGAAGTGCAAAATAAACCCAGTGAGGAGCAGGGGTGCGGTGGGGACAATAAGGGAACACTGTATCAACATCCGGGGTCCCAGACTATTCAACATCTTACCAGAAGATATTAACACGGCTGGAACAAGTGTAGAAGCCTTCAAGAGAAAACTGGACAAGTGTCTTCAC